CCAGACTAATTTCAAAAGATCATTCTCTGGTTCTCATTCTCACAGCAGTGTATGACCTCTTTTCCCTATATTTATGCCAACATTAGTTATTTTTCTTTTTCTATTTTTTCTTCCAGACAGGGTTTCTCAGTGTAGTTTTGGTGCCTATCCTGGACCTCGTTCTATAGACCAGGCTGGCCTTGAACTCACAGAGATCCTCCTGTCTGCCTCCTGAGTGTTGGGATGAAAGGTGTGCACTACCACTGCCTGGCATTGTATGCATGTTTTCAGTGCTGACTATTTGGTATTGAATAACCAGTTGGTGTGCTCTTCTCTGAGGGAGACAATTTCTCGTGCTCCCAGCATCCTCTGGTTGCCTGTAGTTCTCTGTGTAGGGTTGAGATATTGTGGGCTTTTCCCCATCTTCTTTGGCATGCACACATTTGGGAGGTCGTGTTGGAGATTTATAGACAAAGCTTCTAGCATGATGGTTATTCTTGATTGCCAACTTGACTACATCTGGAATGAACTACAATGCAGAAATGGAGGGCACACCTGTGAGATTATTTTTGCTAGTTTTGAAGGGACTGAATCCACTTTTAGTCTGGAGCTTTGAGATAGGAAGCCAAAAGCCATTAATCTACATCTTGAGTCTGAAGAACACACCTTTGATCTGGCCCACACCTTCTGCTGGAAGACTATATGAAGACATGGAAAGAGGAATCATTTTGCTCACTGCCTGTTTGCTGGCTCATTTTCTTGCTAGCACATCCATTCCTTCACTGGCATTGCAGCCTACTTCTTTGGGATTCCAGCATATACTGAAGACCAGTTGAAACACCCATCTTTGTGGACTAAGCAACTACTGGATTTTTAGGCTTTCTGTTACAGCCAACCATTGTTGGATTAGCTGGACAGCAGCCTGTAAGTCATTCCAATAAATCTCCATTATATATATATATATATATATATATATATATATATATATATATATATATATATATACTATAAGTTCTGTTATACTAGTGAACACTGACTAATACACTAGGAGACACAATCTCACAACAAACTCCCTGGTCCTCTGCCTCTTTTAATCTTTATACTCATTCTTCAAAAATGATACTTGAGCCTTAGGTGCAGGAGTGTTTTACAGATGTATCCAGTGGGCCTGGTCTCCAAAACTCTGCATTTTGATTAATTGTGGATTTTTATAGTGGTTTCTGTTGAAAAGAGAAGTTCCCTTGATGAGGGGTGAAGATTAAGCTTACCTGTGGGTATAAGGGGAAATGTTCAGTTATTTGCTAGGGATTGTGATGGTTTAGTAAAGTGGTGCTTGTTTCTTGTCCTCTAAAATTTTTGTCTTCACCAGCACCTGTAGGTAGCAAGATTTCTAGTACTACTCACAGTTTCTATTTTATTAAGAGGATCTTAAGTCCAATGAAAGAGATGTTGGTTACCACCAAGGTATGCTTGCCACTACTACATTCTTAGGGCTACTGTTCCAGGATGACAGTTGATGTGATGTGTAGACATCATAGCTGGCTAGGACTGTTTGTTGGCCCCCTCCTCTGGAAGCTTGCATGATGCTTCCGGTACCATGAAAGCTCTTCCTCAGGGAACAATTTACGTTGTTTTAAGACAATGTCTCTGTTTATCTCCAGCTGTCAGAGACTTACTGTGTAGAGCTGGCTGGCCTTGAACTCAGAGTTCCCCTTGCCCCTCCCTTCTGAGTGCTGGGTTAAAAGGCTTGCATGACCTTGCCCAACATTACTTTTTGTTATTATATTTTTTTGTTATTTCCTGTGTACCTTTTGATGACCTGGAACTTACCTTGTAGGCCAGGCTAGGCTTAAACTCACACAGATCTGCCTGCCTTTGCCTCCTGGGTGCTGGGATTAAAGGTGTGTGCCACTACCTTTATGTCTTGACAATTAGCCAAGATAACTGCACTGCCTACATGATAGAAATGAGTGATCAACTGGATGTCTTGTTAACTGACATCAAAGACTTCTGTTACACTAAATTGGAAACTAAGTGAAATAGATGAATATAACATACCAAATTTAAAGCAACATAAAATAGATATGTTTACAGAACATCAGTAGCAATGTGACTAAAGCAGTTATAAAATGTCACCCTTCAAAGAACCCTATGACCAGACTGACAGGATTCAGTCAGAACTCCAGCCAGGTGGTGGTGATGCATGCTTTTAATCCCAACACTCGGGAGGCAGAGGCAGGCGGATCTCTGTGAGTTCCAGGCCAGCCTGGTCTACAAAGTGAGTTCCAGAAAAGGTGTAAAGCTACACAGAAAAACCCTGTCTCGAAAAACAAAAAACAAACAAACAAACAAAAAATCCAGAGAAAAACTAACAGCAAAGATACTTAAAATACTAACTGACACAAAAAAGGAAGACTTCGTGGCTCACAGTATTACCTGTTATTTTTATCAGTTAATGAGCTGAACATGGTAGCATATACCTTTAAATCCAGCATTTCAGAGGCCAAGGTAGATGGATCTCAGTGAGTTCAAGGCCAGCCTGGTCTACAAAGTGAATAATAGACAAGTCATGGCTATTAAACATAAAAACCCTAAACAAACAAATAAGTAAACAAACCACCAGATAATGATACAGCCAAAAAGAAACTACAGACTGGTATATTCATTTAAAAAACTTCTGAGCTCTGGATGGTGGCACATGCCTTTAATCCCAGCACTCCTGAAGAAGAAGCTGGCAGATCTCTGGGACTTCAAGGCAAGCACTATCTACACTAAAAAATCGGGTTCCAGGATGACCAGGGTTACACATAGAAACTCTGTACCCCCCCCAAAAAAAAACAACCACAACAAAGTCTATTATTAGATATTTCACATCCACACACATCTATATGTATATACACACACTCAGTGTGTGTTTGTGTGCCTGCACCTCAAAAACTGCCCACTCTAACCTTCTACCTCTACTAACCTGGTCCACAATCCCAACAAATCTTTACTATGTTCCTCTCTGTTCATTTTGCTTGGGACCCACTGAGATTAACCAGGGCCAATGTGAGACTGTGGGTTTGGAGCTATGTGTTGGAGCCTGGTGGGCTCAGCAGAGGACTGCAGCTAAAGGCAGTGATTCTTCTCCTACAATCCATCCATTTGCAACTTTTGAGATGTAAAGGGTGTGCCCTTTGTGACTTTCCCTTTCCTAGTCTGATTGTGGTCTTGTGTGAGGTCCATGCAGGTCAGTACAGCTGCTGTTGGTTACTGATTACAACAGCTGTGTGGAGTCTAGAGAATGGCATATCTTAGTCCTTCCTCCTCTTTCCCTTCTAATTCCCTCTCCTCCTCAACCTCAGTGTTCCCAGAGCCACTGACTTTAGTGGAAGGAACAGGTGTTAGGGAGGGGAGGGTGTTGGCCCTTGGTAACTTTAGGTGGAGGATAGAGAGGCCGGAGAAGTTAGAGGAGTGACATAACTGGACGCTTCCTTATTTACGGCATGTGAGACAGCAAGCGTCTCTGCATTCACCATTGCATTTAAAAAAAAAAGAAAAAAAAAAAGTGGCCGGGCAGTGGTGGCGCACGCCTTTAATCCCAGCACTCGGGAGGCAGAAGCAGGCGGATCTCTGTGAGTTCGAGGCCAGCCTGGGCTACCAAGTGAGTCCCAGGAAAGGCGCAAAGCTACACAGAGAAACCCTGTCTCGAAAAACCAAAAATTTGTTTCTGAGTTAGTAAAATGACAAGACCACCATCTAGTGGTGAGAGCAGTACAGCGCGGGATGTGCTTAGCCCTGGGCTGATAGCGGTGGACTGACCACTGACTTCAGGAGACACCTAATTCTTTTCAAAATCTAAGTTCCTGATGTGTCTCTCACAAGTCACAACTGCAGTATTTGGTTTTGGCTTGTCATGTTTGTGTTAGCGATGGGACGCTGGCATCTGAATTTACCCTGTTATCCTTTCTATAAATTGTAGCCCGAGGGGGCTGGTAGTTCAATCGAGGTTAGTTTGCTTGTTATTTATCTAGAAGTATCAGAATCACTGTGGAGGTCAGATACCAGGGTGCAGCGTCCTCCTAGATCCAGTTCTGGTCTAGGCTGGCAGCGAGCATGTGGGGAGGCTGTGCAGAGCGGGTGCAGGCCAGCCTGACAGCTGGAGCTGTGTGGAAGGCAGCCCGAGACAGGGGGAGGGACGGGTCACTGTGCGGGGACACAATCGGAAACAGAGGATGGGAGGCTGTGGGTGTTTACATCAGTGTAGATGAAGGGAGGAGAGTGGGAGGAGATAGAAGAGTGACGTAAACGGAAGCTGGGAAACCTTTAGAATAAGACCAGCTAGGTTGAAGAGCTGAAGGCAGAAGTCAACTTCCATTCCCTGTCGTTGCTCCGGGGCCAGCACTGTAGGGAACCACGTGGTGCAGACCTGGGTGCGGACCCGACGGGGGGTCGCGGGGGACGCGAAATCTCCCCGGAGCCGCAGTCGCCGCGCGGGGCGGCCTGGGAAAGTCACCAGTCAGCAGCGCAGTGGCGGGAACCGCAGCCCGGCGGTCCTGGAACCTCCCAGGTCAGAGGAGCTGCGGGGCTGGGACACGGGAGGGGAGGGACCAGGGGAGCATTTCTTGGTTGTTCATAATAAAGCTGGATCCGAAGTTCTGCTGTGGATGTCTTACCCTTGTCATCCTGGAACTCACTCTGTAGACCAGGCTGGCCTAGAACTCAGATGCATCCAATTGTGCCTCCCCACCACAGCCCGGCTGCCATAATATCGTATAAGGACACCCTAGTAGAATATTTCAATTTAATCTGTCGATATTTGCAAACATGATTCTCTTTGCTTTGCTGGCAAGGAAAAAGCTCTTGAAATCTACATTCATCCACCCTAAATCCCATGTTATAGGTGGGTATCTGAGGACTTGGCATCCCTGGAAAAGTCTTAGGTTTTAGTCATGAAAAGAAGTAAGGTTTTTTCAGAACAAGGGCATCGGGAGACAAGGAATAACAAACACAAAGTCACTCCAGGAAACAACATTCACACAGATTTAATGGAGACACCACAGAACAGTGGTTGCCACTGTAAGTCATGAGGCATCAGAGGGCTGAGTGGAGGGTCGGCTTTTATAGTCTTTGTAGTGTGTGCAGTGACCTAGTGGAAAAGTACATTGGGGCCGGAAGTATTGCTTGATGATGAAGGCTGAAACATTGGCCATTAACAGGGACTCAGGGGGTGGGACTCTCCAAGACTCTTGAGTTTCTGGGCAAGACAGGAACAGACAGAGGATTTTCCACTGGTCACCTATGGCCCTACAGGAATGCATGCAGATTGAATTGAATCAGATATATATCCAGTTCCCCTTGTATGGTTGTAAACATTAACATTTAAAACTAAACTTTTTACTCACCATTAATTTTCTGTCTGAGATATATGCACAGAGAAACCCTGTCTCAAAACAAAACAAAATGAAAAGACAAAAAGAAAAAAGAAAAAACATTATAGAGTAGGATGTTATTAGAAAGTGTCTTTTGAATACTTATAACAACTCATCTACATCAGAAAAATGTCTACAATAGTCTGTTGTATCCTCAGTTCAAGAAAAGCACTCCTGTTCATGGACACATGACCATGATCAAACTTTTTTTTTTTTTTTTTTTTTTTTTTTGGTTCTGGTGTTTGCTGTGTTTGAGACCTGAACTCACAGTGTTGCTCTGTCTGGCCCAAACTTATCCATGTAGACCAAGCTGGACTGGAACTCACAGAGTTCCACCCACAAGTGCTAGGATTTAAAAGTGCACCAACACAGCCTTTCTAATGGTTCTTTTTTGTGATCTGTTGACAGCCAGTTGTGTGACTGTGGACTTCTCCCAGGAGGAGGGGCAATGCCTGACCCTTCCCTAGGGGCTTTGTACAGAGACTGAATGTTGCAGAATTGCAGCATTCTGATTTCTAAGGGTGAGAATAGTTTTCTTGTAGTCTCCCTTGCTCTTGCTCAGGGTTCCTGGGAAAACTATTGTGTTGACCTGTGTGACATCTCACAGAGTAAAGTGAAATCCTCAGGGGAACAAAGAAAAATTTCATGAAATGGTCTCTGTTTTTGTGAGTCCTTTTCAGAGGTGTAAGGCTTCCATCATATCTGACCCTGATAAATTCAAAACCTCACTAGTGTATGATATTCTCATCCCAATCACTCAGTTCCATTTCTGCCCGTGAGATTTGAATGAACTGTGATTAGAAGTGGCATTCAAGTTATATTAACTGAAAATGCTTTCTAAATATTTTCAATATTTTGACCCTTCATGACAATTGGGGAATCACTTATAGATTCCTCTTCATCTACTGAGCACAGTATTGTGTTAGAAATTCAGGTGGTCTCTGAAAAATCTCATTGATCACCCACCTGCTCACAGCAGAACAAAGAGGCCTGGAAGATGGAGAAAGAGGAGACAGTAGCTAAGGCTCTAGATATTTGGAGGGATTGGTGAAGATTGATTCCAAGGGGTTCAAATGAATGTGGAAGTGTGACATGAAATAGCTTAGAAATATTTCTAGAGACTTCCACTGAGAAAAATGTCACAATTATCATATTGCAGGTATGACAAGTTCTACAGAAGAATTCATACTAGGAGGCAAATAAAATTGTATTTGACTAAGCATGTGAGTGATGCTGTCTTTTTTTCATGCACATCACTGATCATGTCTTCAAACCAATATTAATTTGCTTTCATTTCCATGATTTTAGTATATTATACAATGATGAAAGTTAATACCTCCAGGATTATTTATTGTTTATAGAATTTTTGTGTTTTGGTTGTCTAACACATTCTCTACCTTCTAGAGGCATTTATGTTTTTCTTTAACTGCTGTTGTATATTTGTGTATATTTGTAAACATAAAAATACAACCTACTCAGTCTGGATGTTTTCAGGGATGAACATTTGGTAATGGATATCCATGTGGTGTACTCTTCCCTGGGGAAGACTGTTTTTCCAGCTCTCAGAATTCCTTAGTGTTTGACTAGGGTTGAGGCCTAGTGAGCTTTCTCCCTTCCATGTTAGCATGTCTCTTGGTGTTGTCCTTGTTCAGCTTATGTTTAGGCAGCCATGTTTGTATGATTTTATATGTCTAGCTTCTCTGGCATTTCTAGGAAACTCAATGTCAGAGCAAACATCCTGTTCCTCTGGCTCTTCCACTATTCCCACCCTTCTTTCTCAGTGTTCCCTGAGCCTGAGGGGAAGGAGTTGTGGTCCTTATATGTTGAGACAGAGCATCACAACTCGGCATTTTCACTGATTGTGGTTCTCTGTAATAATCTCCATGTATTGCTGAAAGAATTTTTCTTGATGAGGTGTGAGAACTACATTTACCTCTGTGAATAAGGAAAATATTCAGAATGCAGTTAGGGATTATGCTGATTTGGTAAAATAGTGATTGTAGGTTTTCCTCCAAGATCCATGCCTTCACTAGCCCTAGGGAAACTACCTAGGTTTCTAATACCAGGCATGATTTCCCTCTTGTTGAGAGGGTCTTAATGCAATAAGAAGCTGTTGATTAACACCAAGGTCTGTGTGCCACTCTTACACCCTTAGGGCTATCATGCAGTGCAGATCATTGTTGTGGTTCATGGGTGTCATAGCTGTGTAGGACTGTTGGATGGCTCCCTCCATTGGAAACTTGAATGTTGCCTTCTCGTACCATGAAAACTAGTCTCCAGGGAGGAGGCTTTAAGGTCATAACCATCTCTAGTCCTTTGGGATCTGTGTCTGAAGTGCATGGCTTCTTCAAAAAGAGACTCACCTTCTACCTCTGTGAGGCAACCATGAGCAACATCAATAGGCTACAGTGTTTTGGGAGTCTCTTGGACAGCTGTGACCTCAGCTTCAAAGCAGGCTTCTGATGCCTGGAGTTCTGGTTACTGCAGTAACTCCAGGTTGTGTACTCACATCTGAAGATTTGAAGTTGGGAGCTTCTTATGAGAGAGAAAATGCAGTGTCTGTCTTTCTGAGTCTGGGTTACCTCACTCAATATGATCTTTTCTAAGTCCAACCATTTAGCTGAAAAGCTAATGATTTTAATATCCATTTTTTGTTTTGTTTTGTTTTGTTTTCAAGACAGGGTTTCTCTGTGTAGTTTTGGTGCTTGTCCTGGAACTCACTCTGTATCCCAGGCTGGCCTCAAACTCAAACAGATCTGCCTGGCTCTGACTCCTGAGTGCTGGGACTAAAGGCTTGCGCCACCACCGCCCAGTGATTTCAATTTTTTTTAACAGCTGAATCACATTCCATAGTGTATATCAATCACATTTTCATTATCTATTTGTCAGGGGAAGGACATTTAGGTTGTTTCCCTTTTGTAGCTATTGGGAATAGAGCAGCAATGAACAAGGGTGAGCAAATACCTGTGGAGTTCAATGTGGAGTCCTCTGAGGGTACACCAAAATACAATTAACAAATTAAAAAATTTGTTTAAAAAAAAGAAAAGAAGAAAAAGACAATTACTAGTTTTAAATACTTTACATTGGATTGGATTGTTTTATATTGTATACAAATTTGAAATTGATATTGTTAGAAAATGTTATGTATACTTCTAATTGTACTTATACCATTCATTTAACAATGCAATTTTCTGATCCTTGAACATTATTATTACCAACTATTAGGATATAAAGAAATGAAAGTTAGTAGTTAGACATTACAACAGAACTTGTAGTCATATTAGATATGTTTTAAAAATTGAGCAGATATATTTTAGATAGACAGGTCATCTTCAAACCCTTTAGAGATCTACAGAATATGGCATTTAAAATGTTTTAATAACTTAGAAAATTTTTCTTTTTTGAGACATGTCGGCTCCTGGCAGTACCAATCTACTTCAGAGGAAATATGGGCATTGAAGAAACTGCATATAGAGTTAACTTTCATTGTGGCAAAAGTTAGCCACTGGACAACAAAGTATCCTCGAATCAACAGGACAAAATGGACAGACAGAACATGAAACAAAGGACTACTGATTCTTGCCAAACCAAGTGTGGTTATGGCTTTATCAAAAGGCATCTTCTGACGCCAGGACAGTATGGCACCATCCCTGAAGTGGCCTTTGCAATCCAGAAAAGGTACAGTGCCCTTTTCTCCGAAGGCAGCTGAATAGGCAGTGGGCCGATGGCTTCTGTTATACAATGGAACAGCAGCTGAAACAGTTATTCTTGAAGAGTAACTAAGCTCACGCCTCTCAACAGTAGACTGGTATTTAATAGAGGGATGTGGAGAAGAACGGGATGCTGAGATGAAGCCATATATACACAGCCAAGAAGAATGGACAGCTGAATTCAAAAACCATCAACAATTTCCAGAATTTAAAATCCTGAATTATGACATGACACTAGTGGAATTCAGGTGTTTCTGGTACATGGACTGCTCTCACCCAATGTGAGGTTGACCTGTTGACCTTGTGT